AAAAAAAGAGGCCCCGCGAAGCTGTCAGCCCCGCGGTGATATGAAACATCCCTTTCAATAGCCAAGATGGGCTTTAGAGCGCAAGGTGTCCGATTGTGGCGCGCGGTGACCTTAGCCCAAGCGCACCCCTTAATCCACCCCCAGGGGTATTTCATAGGAGAGGAGTAACCCCAAGCTGCTCATTGAGATTCGGCACACACGGGCTCGGGGGCAATATTTGGAGGGTGTCAGGCAGGGTCGTGTGACTGTACCACGCGGGCTGTGAGGGAGCAGGCTTGAATTCCACCCGCTCAGCCTGATTTCAAACTGTCCAAACCTCGTTTCATGACAGAGCATCTTATGAGAAGATTAAACCCCATAAAGCCAGGCAGGAAGATTCTTTATCTAGATCTCTGTTTGCAAAAAGTATGATCCCGGAGACTGGAATGCAAAGAAGAGTTCCCCCAAGGCCTGAATTATTGTCACCAGGACAGAGGAGGGAGAGGCAGGGGTGGTAAAAGGGACATTGATAATGCGCTACAGCAAGTATTTAGAGCAAGCTTCTGCATTTAAAATTCAAATACACATCTTGAGTGCCTTGGAAAAGTGGCTCTGCTGTGCAAATAGTGCTTGGAAGGTCCTGGGTTTTTTGGAGAGTATGTGTGTGAATTGGCACATAGGGTTTCTGCACCTGAACAAATAGGGAGGGGGAGAAAAGGGGGGGAAGAAGCTGGGAAAAAAATGGAAGTGTCCTCTCTTCCAAGAGTGTCTGCATTTATTACATGAATCAGAATGACAATGCTGATCCTTTATTGGATTTTAATTAGAGAACCCAAACAAGCACTGCTCAAAGCAGCAGATTTTCACACCTCTGCCAATTCACTGGCATGTTTGTAGAGCTGCTACACTACTAGATCTATTCATCAAGTCCCTGAATATGCAAACAAAGCTCAAGCCAGACCTTTACCGCCAGCTTGTAGGAAGGTGTAGTTTGCTAGCAGAGGGCTCCACATAAAGCACATAGCTTGTTTGTTGCCATGTCCTCCCTGAAGAGGCCTTGGAGATCTCGCTGCTTCATTTCTGAAGGAGAAGTGATAAAGTCGTTAGCAAATCAATAACGGTCTAATTTTCACCCTTCCTGTCCTTCCTGAGAAAGTCATTAGGAGACACTCTGAGGGTTTATTTAAATCATAAGAGCTTCTTTGCCAGCCACAGAAGCAAAATATAAAATCTGACCACCTTTAGGAGATAAATCACCGGGACTCTAAACTGGTACAGGGAGTAACTGGGAGAAACCAGGGGAGGGCAAGGGAGGCACAAGGAATGTCAACAGCTGTAGCAAAGCACTTGCTACCGTGACATACTGTGGGCTACAGCCCAATATACAGAAAATCAGAGCTTTACAGAGCACCCCAGAGTCCTTCGGTTAAGTTGGAGAAGGGCATCCTGGAGAAGAGCAGAGATCTTCTCCTTTCCCCCCTGCCTGTGGCAGAGCTTCCAGAAAGGGATTTGCAAGAGACATTTAAGTCTCATTGCCATTTCTACTTTCTTTAAGCCTGCATTATTCCTCTTGGGAGCACTGGAAAGCAGCAGCAGAGCCACAGCATCTGGTAGCTAAACTCTGAGTAACTCCAAGAGCAAGAGGAGGTGAAAGAGGGATGCGCTTGGGTCTGGCACAGGCACGGGGCTGCCCAGGGACCATGTGTCCCAAGACAGGGAACAGCATCCTCCTTCCAGTGGGGTGGGAGATGCTTTTCTTTTTTTTCTTTTGGAAAGAGGGGTGAACCAGAGTGCTGGGAATGCCAGATAGTGGTGTTATGGAGGTGACGTGTGTCCCAGCAGCCACTGTGCCAAGCAGGAGGGCAGCAAGGGCTGGGAGGTAGTGTGGGGTGATGCACAGGCTGGTGGAGAGGGGCTTGGGAAATCTCGGCTGTTGCTTTCCAGTGGGGTGATGGGCAAATCCATGTCCTCCTCTGGGTAAAGCCTCCTCCTGCTCTCTGCTGTTTGCTGCCCTTGATGGGCTCCTTAAGTAGGAACTGTGTGGGCACCCCAAGCCTTGTGAGCATGGACACTTGCCTAGAGGAGGAGAAACCTTATGCCAGCAAAACCACTTACCTTTGAAAGCCCGCAAGTTATTTGACATCAGGTGTGAGGTGCAAGGCAAAGAGTATCCAAGTGGGAGCTCTTCCAGAAGAGATTCATAGAATGGCTTGGGTTGGAAGGGACCTTAAAGATCATTTAGTTCCAACCCTCCTGCCATGGGCAGGGACACCTTCCACTAGACCAGGTTGCTCAAAGCCCTGGTCTTGAACACTTGCAGGGACGGGGCATCCACAATTTCTCTGGGCAACCTGTTCCAGTGCCTCACCACCCTCACAGTAAAGAATTTCTTTCTTGTATCTAATCTAAATCTTTCCTCTTTCAGTTTAAAACCATTACCCCTTGTCCTATCGCTACGCTCCCTGATAAAGAGTCCCTCCCCATCTCTCCTGTAGGCCCTTCAGGTGCTGGAAGGCCATTATAGGGTCTCCCTGGAGCCTTCTCTTCTCCAGGCTGAACAACTTCAATTCCCTCAACCTGTCTTAATAGGAGAGGTTCTCCAGCCTTATGATCATCTTTGTGGCCCTGCTCTGGACTCGCTCCAACAGGTCCATGTCCTGGAACAGCTTTTTCGGGGGAAATACTTCATCCCATTTCCTCAATGAGACAAAGGGCCCTCTAACTCCTAACCCAGTGGGAGATACACCAGATGAAATCTGGCAGGAAGAGGGACTCTCAGTTGACCCATTGAGTGTAAACGGGGCAAGTTTGTAGATGGGGATGGAGGAATTTCAGTAGGGAACGAGGCCACATCCTGCACCCATGCTTCTTGGGTGTGTCGGGGCTGCTGGGGAAGTGGTGCATGCCCCCAAACCCCCCATACCCCCATGCCTTGGCCCAGTGGGTGCCCCCTCTAACCCCTCTGTGCCTCTCTCCTTGCACAGAAAACTCGGTGGCGGCCAAATCGGGGGGCTGCTTTCCCGGCTCGGCCACGGTGCACCTGGAGCAAGGCGGTACCAAGCTGGTGAAGGACCTGAGCCCCGGGGACCGGGTGTTGGCGGCCGACGCGGAGGGCCGGCTGCTCTACAGCGACTTCCTCACCTTCCTCGACCGGGAGGACGGCTCCCACAAGCTCTTCTATGTCATCGAGACGCGGCAGCCCCGGGCCCGGCTGTTGCTGACGGCCGCCCACCTCCTCTTCGTGGCCCCCCAACACAACCAGTCGCAGGAGGGGACCCCCAGCAGCCAGGCTCTCTTCGCCAGCCGCGTACGGCCGGGCCAACGGGTCTACGTGTTGGGCGAGGGCGGGCGGCAGCTCCTGCCGGCGGCCGTGCACAGTGTCTCGCTGCGGGAGGAGGCCTCGGGGGCCTACGCCCCGCTCACCGCCCAGGGCACCATCCTCATCAACCGGGTGCTGGCCTCCTGCTACGCCGTCATCGAGGAGCACAGCTGGGCACATTGGGCCTTCGCTCCCTTCCGCCTGCTCCAGGGGATGTTGGCCACCCTCTGCCCCTGGGTAGGGGGAGCCCCGGGGGGTGCCCCCACCTCCCCCGGCATCCACTGGTACTCTCGCCTCCTCTACCGCATCGGCAGCTGGGTGCTGGATAGTGACTCTCTGCACCCGCTGGGCATGGTGGTGCCGTCCAGCTGAGAGCATCCCACATCGCCCCGGCCACCCGCCGGGCTCCGAGGGAGAGACAGAGACACAGAGAGAGAGAGAGAGAGAGAGAGAAAGAAGAAAAAAAAAAGAAAAACAACAAAAAAAAAGAAAAGGAAAACCTAAAAGAAAAAAAAAAAAGGAAAAAAAAATTGCATATTTTTAAAAGAGAGCATGGATTAAGACTTAAAAATAATAATAATAAAATAATAATAATTAAGTAGGACAGTCCAAAGTAGACTTTAAGGGAAACAAAGACCCCGGAAAGTTCTGTTCTGTTTAGTTTATAAATATAAATATATTTTTATTTGTTCTTTTGTTTCGTTGTTTTGTTTGTTGGTTTTTTGTTTGTTTTTTTTTTTTTTTCCTCCTCTCCTGGATATTTATTTCTTTGGTATTTTGAATAGATGTTTTAAATGATATGAACCGGACCTTCAAGAGCCTTAAATAGTTTCTTTGATAATTTATTATCATGTGAACTGTACTCACAGGGAAAAAAATTATTTTGTGAGGCCAAGCAAAACTGCGCAGAGTCTATTTTTCTACATGTCACGTGTGTCCTGACTTTCAGAAAGCAAAATTCTGTACTTTCCCATCTCTCCATTGCATTGCTCCTTCATTTCAGCAAGTCTAAAAAACAAGTAAACAAACAAACACACACAAAAAAAAGACAAACTTCATGGGGGTCCGTAAATTATATTTTTATACACAGAATTGTAAATTAGATTTTTTTGAGAGATCAATACTTAACTGAATCACATTTCGTTTTTTGAAATAGTGTAAAATATGAGAATATATTATTTTAATTTAAATAGTTTCAAATGTAACGTCATTTCCTGTATTGTTTTCCATGTTTTGCTTTGTAAAAACACCATTTGGCCACGTTCATGGAAGTCAAGACTGTTACACAAACTTTTCATTTGCAAAAACCGTAAGAAACTTTGTTATTTTTAACTTAAAAAAAAAATTTATTAGAAAATAATATTTTTTAAAAAGCGCACATGGCAGCAATTCTGTGACGATGGAGACAGTAGTTTGTACAGAGGGGAGAAAAGGATGTTTTGCATTAATAAATTGAGAAATAACTGCTGTAAATTTACTAAAATGTATTTTTGAATATTTTGTAATAGTTTTAATAGTTTTATAGAAATAAAATGTGCCATGCACAGTCTGGTTAGTATATAATAACTAAGAGTTCCTGGTGCATCCCATTTTTTTTTTTTCCCTTTTGCTTATTGATTTAGGAAACATGATGCCTAAAGGAGTGCCCGTTATTTTGTTTAGATGTGTTGCTTATAACTTTTAATTTTGGTACTTTAATTAGGGAAACGAATCCATCACATCCACGCCTAACCTGGAATCTCTTGTACTAACAGTAGAACCTCACTTATTCGCACGAGCGACCGGGAGACGTGGTTTCCCTTCGCTGGAGCCCCGGCTCCCCCTCTGCGCTCAGGCGATGCTCCCCTCTTCCAGCTCCAGCCCTGGCTCCAGGTCCACCTCCTGGTCTGGTCCGGAGAGCACAGACATCTCTTAAAATTGATTTCTGAGGGCGTTAAATCAAGTTTGTCCTTTGAAGCGTGTTAATCTGAAGGCAAGGCGACTGCCTTCACTTTGTGGCAGCACCAGGATTTTAACCAGCTTTAATTTGGGTGCTCGGAAGATGGAAATGATCTTGGGGAGCAACTAGGATTCATGTGGCTGATGCTGGAAGAAGGAGGTCGCCACTGGATTTCACTGGCCACTTTGCCTGAATAAAGATGTGAGGCTTGTGGCTGTGGAGAAAAGAACAAAACATCCTTCGAAAAACAAAAAAAAAAAAAGGCATGAAAAATTGTTGATTTATTCTAAGAGACGTTCTTTAGCTGTAAGAGTCCATCCTGAGCCATCAATGGGTGAACATACTGGAGACATATTTTAGGAGATGAATGGTGGGACCAGTGCTGTATTCCCTGCCCGGTCCCAGCTCCAAGCCCCACTGAGGGCTTGTCCTGGCCGGGTGCTGATGAGTGAGGTTCTGCTGCGCCGTGTGCTCCTCCCCGGAGGGTTTCCAGGATCCCTTTAAAAATTTCGCAAAACATTGTGTGTGCGTGTGTGTGCGCGTCTGCGACAGGACCGAGCCGGAAGGGAGCTTTCCTTGAATGTCTTCTCACCTTTTCTTCAGTTTCCATTACTCATCGGTCTAGGACATTCATCCATCGGGCAACCCCTTGCTCCAGAGATGCAGCCACGTCCTCCACCGAGATGCATGGCAGCTCCAGGTGGCCTCCAAGGATGTCCCTGCCTGGAGCCACCTCTGGAGAGTGTAGACCACGCTCTTCCGCTCTCAAAGCCTGGGAGATTCCAGAGTGGTGCCAGAAGCTGGTGGCTGAGCCCTGGGGCATGAGCACTCCACGTCAAGCCCTATGGATGGATGTGGTCTCTCCTTCCTGGAAGCTTCTAGTCCCAGGCTACCTCCAAGCTCCAAAGCCTGGTCATGGTGAGACATCAGTACGACCTCTGGCATGCTGCAGCACCCGTGTGAACCACTGGGATGGGAACCAAGCCACCCTAATGCCCACACAGTGTGGAGCACCGTGGGGGACTGTGGATTGCCTGATGGGTTCCAGGCACCTGCTGCCCAGCCTGGCTTGGACTCTGTTGCCTCCATGTCTTCGGGGTCTGCTGGTGTATTGGGGGCTGAAAATGCAGCTGGTTTGTGGCACTTAAAAATGTAATCATGGAACAAGTGAGTCTCTGCAGTAAAAGTTTGGCCTTTGTACGGTGGTGTCTGGGCATCTGAGCTCTCTTACCCCTGTCCCTGAACAGCAGCTGGCATTTTGTAAAGCTTTTATGGTCAAAAAATGACCATGTCAGAGCCTACCTTCTCCAGAGGTTGGGCGGTAGAGGTGTTTAGAGGTGTCAGTGATAGAATTTAAGACACTGGCTTGGGGGCTTTGGTCTATCTGGTAGCTGAGACGAAAACAATCTGTTAGACCAGAGCCCATGCTTGTGTCAGGGTAGGGTACACGCCCCAGTAGGGACCATACCAGACATTGCCATGTTAAATATTCATCGAAAGGCCCAGGCGAGCTCAGAGCTTTGCGGTGTGAGAGAAGCTGAGATGCTGTCTTATAATATGATCAACCCATTTTGCCAAGCAAAGAGATGCTGTGCCATGTTCTCCATCGCACGTATTTCCAGTGACTGCAAGCCTCCCTCTCACCATGTATTTATTACATCTCTTCCTTCGGCACCTCACGTCCGGATCACCCCTCTGTGGTATGCATTAGAAGTGCTTCGTTAGATGGACCGATCCAACCTATAGCTACAGCTCTCGTATGAAGGATGTACTGTCATAACATTGTGCAAAACGTCTAGGAAATGTCACCGTCCATTTTCAGGGTCTGAGTATGGCAATAGTTTGTATAAAATGTACACATAGTGGTGGCTACAGAATAGTTTATGACTAAATACATATCTATTACTGTTAAAATAATGTATAAGAATGTACTTGAAGCTATTATCCTTGTGCTCTGTTGTCTGAATAATTAAAGAAATTACAGAGACTTCCTGAAATGTCTGTTATGTGACAGCATTCCTCTCACACACTCTCAGCTCCGTGGTTTTTACCCCAGTGACACTGAAACGAGTTGCAGGGAGCCCGGTGCTTGGTCCCTTGGGATTTGGCATGGGAGCCTTCAAACATGGCAGGAATTGTGCCTGGGCCACTTCATGGGATGGTGTCAACCTCCCTCTTCTCCCACCTAGAGCCACGTAGACAGTCTAGCATTTACCTGCGAAATATCGCGTGGCTCTGCAAAGCCAACTCATTTGGCAGGGTTTTGTGAGGAGACAGAGATGCCCTGAAGGTCAGTACACCAGTGGCTGCCTGTCCTCCCAGCATCCCCCATCCAAGCCAACGTGAGAAGTGACCCCAGTGAGACTGGGGCTAGCTCGTGTTTATCCCACTGGTCTTTCACACGGTGCCCCGGTGCCGGGACACCAGGTAACCCAGCTGAAGGGAAGCTTGGATAACCCAGTGAAAAGAGGATCACTGTGCAACTAAAATCCAAGCCAAGCACTGGAGTAAGCCAGGTTTTTCACAGCCGTGTTGTGCCAGGTAGCCGTGCTGTGCCCCAGCCAGCAGCTCTTTGTGCCCTCACATCCGAAAGTTTGCTTAGCTATATCTTCTCATACACGTATGTACATATATGTATGCATATATAATACTATTAGCCCTATATTAAGAGCTCAGCATATCCTACCAGGCTATAAATATGTTTACATTGGCCCTCCTGAGCATTTCACATCATGCCGAGGTTGAGCAGGCGATGTAAATCAGCCCAGTTGGGCGATAATTGGGCAGCAGATTTGCAGCTCCAGTACAACATCTATTTCAATTACAGGGGGAAGGAAACCAGAAAGAGCATTTTATTTTACTCATTACTGCAAGCCATAAGGGACCACTAGATTTCCTAAGCTTTTGAAATTCTCTCTTCAGCAGTTTCTGCCTTAAAACTAGTGCAAACTTTACAGAGAAAAAAAAAAAAAAGGTCAATTTTCCATGTACAGAACATTTCCAGAGCTTTCAATGGAGCGGTGTTAATGCAATCCTTGGGCTACAGAGGCTGTAAGGGAAAAATCATCTTTAAAAACTGTGTCTTTACAAGTGATGGGATTGTCTAAGATTTTGATGGGAGTAGGATGAGGCTCACAAGCACTGTTTATGCTGAGATTGTTAAATAGAATTTTTAATACTTTGCATTTGGGGTGTCTAGGTTTACATATTTAATTAGTTTTGGTTTTCAGGACTGAAAAGAAGCGAGCAAATCCAGGCAATATGAGTTTAATAATCCTGTCATGGTTCCAGTAAAATCAAGAGCGGCATCCAGAGCTGATCTGGGTGCACAGGGAGTTGTGTTGTCACCTTAAAGCCTAGTGAAGGACCCTGTATAACTTTTTTTCCTTCCATTTTTAAGTGAGAGCAAGCCAGCTCTTCGGACAAATACTGCTGCAAATCAGGAGTGAAACCATGAGGTCAGGAAATCTGTTTGGGGTAAAAATATTTGTTTTGATGTCCTGTGACCTACATGTGAAATAAATATTAGATTTGCTCAGTTTGGTGTAAACAAATGTCCGTTCATATTACCCAGGAGGAGAGGTGACAAGGGATGCTCTCTGTGGCGTGACCGCAGAGGGTCCCTTGGCCACCAAACCCGCATCTGGCTGCTGCCCAAGGGCAGGAGGGCTGGGACGTGGGCAGGGGAGCAGGGACACTGTGGGGGCACCCTGTGCTTTGTGTGGCTCTGCCCAGCTTGCTCAGCTCTGGGGATGACACGGGGAACCCTTCCTCACCCCATCGCTGGGGCAATGCTTCTCTGGACCAGCTCTCTGGGACACCGTGATGTCTCCCTTGAAAAGAGGATGTGCTCACAGGAAAAATATACTTGGGAATGCTGTATCGTTCCAAGTCTTGAGTCTTTTGATGGCATTCGCTGCAAAGGAACGGATGATAAATCTGTATGTAATTACAGCAACATCCTTTTGGTATCATCACACACAAAGCACTATGTCACAGACCTGCCATAGGGTTTCACTGGGTGGAAATCCATTTTACAAGAAGGGTATAGAGCAGGCTTTGGCCAGTTTGAGGCATTAAAATACCTTTTCTTCAAACAGGTTAGGCTGGAAGGGGGCTCTTGTGGTCCCGAGTCCAACTCTAGCCCATACTGGGCCAGCTTAGGGCTTGCTGCTGTGGGCAGTCTTCTGTAAGGTGCCACACATCTCCAAGGATGGAGAGCCACCACCCCTCTGGGTAACTGGTATTGTTAAATAAGCTGTCATTTTGCCTAAATATTGCAGTATTGTGTTTCATCTACCAAGAATCTCCCTTTGTATTCTCTTTGTATTTCTTCCGGGGGGAAAGACACCCAAGAGTTAAAACAAGATGAGTTTTAAGAAATCCCAGGTTCCGAATCTGGGACGTTCAGAGGTCTGCTGAGCTCTGCTTCTGCTCCTGCAGTTCACACCGAGCAGAGACAGCCAAAACGTTACTCGCCCAGCTAACCTCTCCTCTGTAACTCAGGCCCATCCTGTTTTCTACAGCAGTGAGAACTGTTTTTAATTATTAGACTGTGATGAATGCAAATAAATATTAGTCTAGGGATTGCTCACGAACAATTCTCTCGGAATAGTCACTGGCTTGGTGTAAGCTTTGTTGCCTTTGCCAAATGATGCCCTTTCTACTCTGCAAAGTTTTTCTAGAAACAGAAGCATAATAAACGTACAGTATCAAACAAGTCTGTTCTGGCACAGCATTTGTATGAATAACCATTTTGTGCTAAAGCCGGTGGAAGCTACGGGGTTCACAGGCATCAGAAAGTCCAACTGCCATTCAAATATTTGCAAATAATGAATCATGTGATCCCACAAATAACAACAAACCAACCTGGTTGCTTTCATTGAGGAAAATGATTATGAATCACTGTGTACTGTGGGCTCAATCCAGCAACCACCAGCGTCAAAGGGAGTCTTTCCACAACTTCAAACAGGCAGGGAGCTGAGCTGTGTTTGCTCAGCTTTACCTGGTGTATCCCTCGCTTTCATATTGCATGATTAAATAATAGAATTTATCAGGCAAGCAGGAATTTCCTAGAGCAGCCAAGAGTGGGCAAATGTCACCTCCTGACTGCATATGTGCAGCTCCCACTGATGTCAGTAGGGTTATGTATGGGCAAAATGAGGTCAGGCTGTGTTGTCCTACTTTAGGTGCCCTGTGGTATTACACTCAATTAAGTTTTGTCTCCCAGGACGCAGCCTCCCTCCCACTTAAGTCACCAGG